GGGGTCAGTTTCAAATCACCAGGGGTGCAAGCACATTTGCTAAATAGCACTGCCAACATATTAGCCTATTATAATATTTCAAGCTAATGATTAATTTACAGCCCCATCATTTGCATATTAAGTGGTCATGGTTAATTGTGATTAAATATAGGGGTACCGGCTAATTAATATCTATAGAAAACTGCCCTTGGGCATCATTAATGGTGAATAGACAGTTTCCAAAAACCACCCAGTTGGTGGTCAATGCATTTTAGCGCTAATAGATATGCTATTTATATCAATAGACACGCATATAAAACTGGATTATGCAGATGTTTTTTGATAGGTACTAGCATAATGAACATTTTTTTGTATGTATATAATAGTACACTAAACTATTCGTGAACTTTTGTTAATTATTTTTGAAAAAATATTTTAAATTACTTTTAGGGAAACGTTTAGTGAATTAAAGTAAATGTTTTTCAATGGGTTTTAAATATTGTGCATTAGATATACACGCGATTCGTATCTTAACTCAAGAAAACTGTAACTTTTTAACTGATATCTGAAATAAAACTTTTTAAAAACGATTTAAATTAGTGCACAAAATATATTTTTTGTTAATACTATTTATATATAGTGTATGGACTGATGGGTAAACCAAAAAAATCCAATTAACTGTTCAATCAATTTATTCGCAAAAATAATAATAATCTGTTTTATAATGTTTAGGGAAATGTTTTTTAATACAAAATAAAAAGTCGCTTTTTCCCTAATATATTGCAATCATTTTTATTAATCGATATTTTATTTGATAGATTTAAACACAAAAACTGGTATTTCTATTGAATTGAAAAACTGTTAATATATTTATAATAATAATAATGAAAAATAACAAAAATTATTTAGTATTGCAATAAATAATAATTACATTTTTATTGTTTGTTATTAAATACAGTTTTATTTTTGTTATTATTGTATTTATAACTCAATTGGTTTTTTCATTAATACACAGTTACTCACAAAGGAGTAAATTACTAGAAACACCTTGCTAATCATTAAATTACTATAATAATTTAATAAATTTCACCTGTCATTTCTAAAATATGCTTTATACATTAATATTTCTAAAAATATTTCGCATGCTACTTTAATTTATCTAATAGGTATTGATTGCTAATTTTCATAATGATCATGGTACTCAAAATCCGGAAAAGTAGATTAATAGCTATGAAAGTATTTAGTGGTTGATTAATAAGCACATTCTCTAAATATATTTACCCACTAATAATAGTGTAGCTAATAGTTCCCATATATTTAATCGTGATCATTTTCATTGATAAACGTCTGGATATTTATATTATATTAGAAACTAATGTATCCATTATTAAGGGACTCTAAACAATACATACTGTTAATGGTATTGGAAATAATTATTTATATATACAGTAATTGTTTTTACGGAGATTTCGTTAGTGTTTAGGGGGATGGCATACCTTTGGGCTAATACTGTAGTGTGTGAACCACTTGATGATGTCTAGTCTAACTAACATACCTTTCCCTTTTGTTTTGTGAAATCAAACTGTAAATACAGGTAAATCTAATGTTTCAAATAATGTATATGAAATCAATGTACAATATTTGGAAACAATTCCCATCGAGAATAAAAATTGGTACTTGATTAATTATTTTGAATAATAAAATTATAGAACTTACATGTTATCAAGCAATATTACTATTTTATTAATCATAAAATTTTATTTTAATAAAATCATTGACATGATACCAAAGTCATAAAATTATATAATATACTATATTACATGTATATTATATCGAGAGTTGATTATAAATATTTTTGTTATGAGAAAACTTCAAGAGATGTTAGGAAAACATTAAATCAAATAAATATATATCTCATCCAAATCTTAGCTCTCTCTCTCTCTCTCTCTCTCTCGGGAAATAACATATCCATTAAAATCAATCGTCAGAAATAAATAGAAAAACTGAAATTAAACCAAAATGCGATATTTTTCCCACAAGTATACCATTGGTTAGAAAATTATAAATTTTAATAGCTAAGATTAATATACTTACGCTATTTTAATTATAGACATTAAACTTAACTAATTACAATATATTAATTATAGACATTAAACTTAACTAATTACAATATATTAATTAAAAATTAGTTGTAATGAACTATTTTACACGGGTATTATAAATAGCATGTAGGCAGACTTTTAAAGTAAAAAATAAACAAAACCATTTTTGATTGTAATTTGAAAATATTTAAATTTATTTCTATTTTTGCTCTAATTTCGCAAAAATGGTAATAAATCTTGAATTTTGACAAAACAACTAAAAATCTGTTTTTGAAAAACATTTTATTTATATTCACAGCACTGTATGAATAAATAATTTTCAAATATACGCCAAATTTAGATAAATGTCCTTTAATTTGATATTTTCTAGTGATAGTCAATACCATTATAAACCAGTCAAAAAAACATTAATCTAAATTTAATTATATTTAATAAATTAGTTTTAATAGCCATTACACATACATTTACCACATATAAATAAGTCTAATCAATAAATTGCCAACATAATAAAATTATAATCTATCAAATTAATTTGCCGTGCTCGTATATTTTAATACTAAAAATTTATTTAATAAAACTTTAATGAAAAATGCTACTTAATGGATATTACTTTTTTATTATGTAGCCTACCTAATAGGCAATACCTATTGTATACATTAGGATCATTATCAGTCTGAATGTCTGTCCACTAACCATATTAGCTATAAATTCATTACTACTTAAGTATATAATAAGTATAGAAAATGTCTATTAATTTAATAATCATCTAAACCCTCATTATAGCCATCATTACAAAAGTATATATAATTATATGAGAAAAAATAAATGTCATATAATATTAATATTTTTCTCATACTACCAGCCCTTCCGCGTATACATCAAGTCATGAATGAATATATGATTTTTGTTGCACTTTTTTTTGTGCTTGATGTTTATTATAGCATATATAAGCAAATGATTAATAGCTTTATAAAGCGATTGCAGAATATATCACCGAAAATATTTTTGGCAAAACTTTTTTCCCGTTGACTGACGTGCGAGTGATGAGAGGGGATAGGGATGTCGGTGTTGAGGGGTTTAGGCTGTATATCAGTGGTGGATATCTGGGCTGACATTTATGTATGTGTGTGTGTGTGTGTTGTGTGTGTGTTTGGTAGGGAAAGGCTGTTTGGTGTGGATATGTGTACGAGATTTTTAGGGCTCTATTTATATTCATATGTTTTTATATACCCGAGAGAGAGAGAGAGAGAGAGAGAGAGAGAGAGAGAGACTAGGAAATAGAGTATTCGAGAGAGCATTAGAGAGAGCTATGTATGTGTATGTATGAGAGAGATTAGAGTCAAACAAATACAAAAAACATAAATAATTAAGCAATGCATTTTATTTTTGGCACTACGGTATAAGTGCCAAAACATATGTTTATTTAATTTATGTGTTATTTTAAAAATTGAGTTTCAATTTTTGATTTGATAGTGTCTATCATCGGGGTAAATTGTGGGAAAATCAGCAAAAAGTATATTTCTAAACACACAAAAAATAATATTTATAATGTATTTCAAATATGGTTTATATAAAAATCCCAGGAATTGCTATTTATTTAATAGTTAACTGTTATTATTATATAAATAAATGTGGTATAGTATTTAGTTTGAGAAATTTATATTAATTACGCAAATGAGCCAAAAATGTCATGAATTTACAGTATATTTAGTGTTTACTTTAACCGCAAGTATTTTAATTTTAATGTCAATCGCCATAAAATTTGACAAAATATTTATTATTATAATGTACGCAAATATATTCACAAATTTTAGTTAATTACACCATTCATTGGCTATTAATTAGCAAATTATCATAAATTAGCCATGATTATTGTAATCCAATACTCTATGATAAGCCACTGGAATAATACAGAATATTCTTGTATTACACCAACAATTTGTTTAACCATTTCTATAGGAATATCATTATATAAACAGAATATTCTGTTGAAAGAATATTCTATACATTCATGTGATTGACGTGACTGTCAGTCAATTGTATAGCAATTCTTACTTACATTACAATCATTGAGAGGCAGTGGGAGAGAGATATTGAGGGGAAAGGGAGTCTGGGAGAGGGAGCACAGGGAGCTATACGGATACATGTGAGAGAGACTGCGAGAGAGCGAGCACTGGTAGGTATCGTATGGATAGACATGTGCTCCGCGAAGATGTATGTATACAGTCATACGTGTTTGTATTGAGAAATATTGAGAGCACAGGGAGGTTTGTATGGATACAGAGAGTGTGAGAGGGGAACGGTGTGTTTATTTTATACACACACTATACTCGTATACGACTGGCATTTGCCTATTAATAGCCAATTGTGAAGTCGTTTTTGGGGCTATTTTTTAATCACAGATTGTGTTTACAGAATATTCTTGTATATACTTATGGGTATTAAATTTCTCAGGGTAAATATCATAAACATTAAGTGGTATATACACTCTCACTGTATCTCCCGTTCCACTCAATGGTTTTTAATACCAGTGCCTCCACTCATATGAGGGCTTATATGCATAGTTTGTTTCAAACATAACAAGCAATTAATAGCAAAATCTTTTTGACACAAAAATAATAAGATATAAATAAATATAACTTTTATTTTCAGTGAAGAATAGACACGAAAGTCATGTTTAAATTCATACATGAATTGCATTTATAAATGAAATTAAATGCTTTGAGAAAAAAAATATTTTTCAAAATCATATGTTTTCTATCAAAACAACAAAAATAAAAAATCCTTATAAATAATAAACACAAATTGTATCTTGCACAATTTCTATATATTTATATGCTTATCATTATTAGCTAGCTAAATATTTTGTTTGACAATTAATTTTAAATAGTTTTAAAATATTATATTTGACACATACCTGGCCAAGGGGCCGGACTTTTTGGACCGGTAGCTTAAAATCTTCTCGACCAGCGGGTAGTTGCCGCTCCGGGAGGCGTCCAAAAGCTCCTGGTCCTTACCCATCACAATTCACTTGCAATCATAACCGTCGCAAAAAATTAACAAACAACAACATTCAATATCCAACAACAAGCTCAATATTAAGCGAATATCCAACAAAATTAGCCAGCACACACTCGTATATCAACAATGTTTATGTAAGTAGCTGGGTCGAAAATTAGTTCACTTCATAATGTACCATGTGCATATAAATCATATGTCTCGGGCGAGTATATATACATAAACACTGAGCTTATAATTCACAGTTAATTATCCGAAACATTTTATCCATACCCATAGAGAGAGCACAGGGATGTTGTATACACGGAATACAAATTATTTATGGGGCTATCAAACACTACCGGTGCCCGTACCTGTGAACTAAAATAGCAATATAATGAACTTTTCATACGTAAGTAATTAGACACCAATATATTGGTAATTGATTTTAATATTCAATACCATAATACGATTATCGAGTTCAGGAATCCTATTGTATGTATACACTGTAGACTACCGTTCCCTTCGAGCACTCTCGTATGTATACACTACTTGCTATATACAGCTCAGCCTAACTGCACAGTTATGTTCGCCAATTCGTATGAGTCAATCGCTGCGAACATCCATAGAAGTCGGCGCATGGATTCTATGCGACAGATACAGCTCACAGATCCAGTTCCCCCTTCAGTGGTATGCCGTTCCCCAGCTATGTATTGATGTTTGAGAGCAAAGTTCTGGACCTACCGGTGCGACGACTGGTAGGCGGGCATCGTATTAAATGGTATATAATATCAACACTTATGTCACATAAGTTATATGAGTTTGTATTAATATGCATGCTACATTTTAATTTGTATAATACTGCATTGTGTAATTAATTAATTATAAGTTTTTAATAAGATTTTTGTAGGTATGTTTAATATTAGGTTATAATTTAAATAGACAGATATTTAGTAAATATACAGTACTACAAAGTTAATTATATAAATAGCACAATACTATTTATTAACTAGGCAAACACAATAATTAATTAAATGCTCAAAAATACATTTATTATATTTCTATACAATTAATTATGAGAAATATTTTTAGAGTTACATTTGTTATAATGTCTAATGTATTTTCATACAGTAGTAGAGTAATAATTTATCCTTTTATGTCATTTATTTGTATTATATTTTTAGTTCATTTGTTTGGTTGTATTCACAGATTTCTATAGAAATTGATTTTTGTATGAAATATTTTTCTCATTATTTTGTCTGTAAAACAATAATAAAAGTTCAATGATTTTAAAATACCATAATCAATAAATTACAGATACTATACTAATGTCATTCAACTAACTATAAGTGCAAAATAAAAATACATTTTTATTTATTTTATTAATGTTAAGATGTTTTATATTTATTAATAAATTCATATTGAAATACTGTTCGGTATTTACAGTATAGTCAACTATTTTTTGTTAATATTTTTAAGTATTTTATTTAACATATTTATTATTGAAAAATATTTAGCAGTAGTTATAGATTAACAATAATTTTGTAACAGCTGCTAACTAATAATTAACTGATAAATATAATTGTTAAATAGTTATTATAACTTTTTGTTAATTGTATTTCATTGACAATAATTCAAAATACACTAACTTACATATTTTTGGTATTATTTAAATAAGCTGATTTTTGTAAAAATATTTATCAAAGTCCAGATATTTCCCATTTGTCTAATTAAATACAATTCCCATATAATATAGTACAATGTTTGAAATAACTTTACTGTTTTAAAAATAATATTATTTAACTTAATAAATTTTGATGTTTTATTGTTTTATATTTATTATAATTACGATAATAATACAGTTTAAAACACAAAAAGATGTTATATCATTAACAAATAGGATTTTCATACAATATTTTCTAATAGTACCTTGCCGATAATTAAATTATTCATTGAATTTGCAATCAAAATAACTATTCAGAAACTCATTACTCGTAACTTTAGTATCATTATTACACTCACGCCTAACCCGATTAATATCATACAATATATCAGGGTGTTTAATCTTTTGCAATATATCGTGGCAGCTAGGTCTTTTATCATACACGTACGTTAACATCTCGTTCATTAAGTCGATTAACCCGGGATATTCTGTTGACCTAAAAAATACAGAAATAAATTAACACAGCAATCTACCAAGCTATATTTCACAACATACTTATTAATATCAATGTTAAACAACTCCTCCACAAAAATACCGATACTATAGACATCAGCCTTTGTATTATAGGACCGCCCACTGGCCACTTCAGGCGCTATGTATCTCTGGGCACCGGCACCCCTGGTATGGGACTGGGACGCCGATGCGTGTACTTTAGCCAAACCAAAGTCACCAAGCTTAATACACCGTTTTTGAGCCAAATTAAGCAGCACTAAAATGTTTGCCGGTTTTAGATCCCGGTGAATTATTTGCGGTACCCGTGTATGTAGATAGTCTACGGCCTCTATAATCTCCTTGAACAAATGGTATGATATGAAGTACTCCACGTGACCGACACCCTTATTAGGCTGTGTTTTGAAACAGGTCTTTTTGAGCGTGGTCACGTATCGTAGGTTGAATGAGCATAACTCCATTAAATCTCCTTGAACAAATGGTATGATATGAAGTACTCCACGTGACCGACACCCTTATTAGGCTGTGTTTTGAAACAGGTCTTTTTGAGCGTGGTCACGTATCGTAGGTTGAATGAGCATAACTCCATTTGTATGTATAGTACGGCCGGACCTCCCGTTCCCATAGAGGTCTCCAGCCATGAGTCATAATATTTTACTACATAATTGGCGTCAAGTTTGGACAGTATGTCGATCTCCCGGTTCTCTATACTTGGATCTAGAAATTAAATTTTAATATAATTAGGCATGCTAGCTACTATTTTTAATCTTATGAATTTAGATTAATTCATTGATGTAAATAATGTTAAAATTAAAAATTACCTTGTATAATAATTTTTTTAATAGCATATTTGCCATTATCGTGGGTAGACTCTGTTTTGTACACCGACCCAAACGTACCGGAGCCAATTATTAATTTCTGACCAAAATCTGTGTTAATTTTATTTTCACAAACTGGTATATTTTGGCTACTATTATTCATTTTATAAATGAGCTATTTGATATATTACTCAACGTGTGAGCACAAATAATACGTTAATTTTTAAAAATCATCGCTCAAGTACTAATGTATCACAAAATATTATTTATTGTCTTAACGTATGTATTATCATAGGAATGTATTATACCAATAAAATACCTGTGCATTACTATCTAAGCAACATTTGAAATTGATTAGAATTATCATTACTTGATATAAAACTTTATTAATATAAGAGGTTTAATAAAGTTACCAATCTGTGCAAAAAAGTTTTTAAATTGTAAAGATATGTAGAATAAAAGCATATTTTATTCTGCAATAGGGACCAAAGTTTAGACCCATTTTTGAAACCCGGGCCGTTCTAAGTGTTCCTTTACTGGGAAGCCCGCCCCGGCCTCTATGCTGGGAAACCCGTGGGAACCCGAAAAACCTTAAAATAGAAAACTACAAAATTGCAACAAATTTAACATCAAATGAACATTTATTGAAATTTAACATTAAACCCACATTCATATGCTTTAAAGTTTACAAAAATCATAATTAGATTTAATAAACAAGAATATATCGACATTTTGAAGTCAAGTTACGAGAAAATATAGATACTCTGATAAAAAATATAAGGGGTTTCTAAATTTTTAGGCTTTTTAAAGGTCTTTGATTTCTACAACGGGAAAATTCAAACCAGTTCACGACCGAAACTCTTAAAGGGTTCCCAGCTTCATATTCCATGCTTCAGTACAATAAATAATGTTAAAGACTAAGGAGCTAGTGTCAAATACAGAATGTCCTCGACAACAAAGTTCTAAATATTAAGCACGCTAAAGGGTGGTCATGCCATAAACTCTGAATACGTATATTTTATTGGGGTAGGGTTATGGGATAATTTATGAACGCTTAAGCATACATACCCCATATCAAAGCAGGAAAATGTTCTGTATCTGAGGAAAAGTAGGGGAAAGGCATCTACTATTGCCTGTGCTTTTGAGTGCAGTGTATCATTTACGCCGGTAGTTTAAAACCATTGTATTTTAATTAATAACTAATAATTTAAACATGATTAAATAATTATCTATTAAGTATAGACAAAACTTGATTTCAATAAAAATTTCTACAAATTAAAGTTTAATTATTAAACTATTATGTATATTATAGTGCTCTACTGTACAATAGATTACAATATTATATATAGAATATAAATAAATAAATATATAAATAAATTTATATTATATTAATTTATAAATAACCTTCTTATATTTAAATCGTATTCTGTATATATTCATTATATTTGCAGAGAATATATTTATTTAAAAACTCATTTTCATTATTGTTGATTTTAGTAGTAATATTTTCATTATATTCACGCCTAATACGATCTATGTCGTAGATAAAATCTGCATTTTTTATTTTGGTCAATATTTTATTGCAACTTTCAGGTCGCTTCTTGGGCGAAGGTTGTGACATGGTAAAAATTAATTTTTCTAACGGTTTATATTCCACTGGCCTATTTTAAATAATAATTTATTGTGTTAGCTTGTTAAAAATATTTTCGCACATTTTTTCTACAGTAGTACTTACTTCGCATCATCATGTACATCAAAATTAAATAATTCATCGGTAAATATGGCAATACTATAGATATCAGCCTTTGTATTATATTTTTTGGTGCCTCTTTCAACTTCAGGAGCCCTGTAATTCCTCGTGCCAACCCATCCCGTATTCGTTTGCGATTCCGAGGTCTGTTCTTTCGCCAAGCCAAAATCACCAAGCTTAATACACCGATTATGCTCCAAATTAAACAAAATCAAAATGTTTCTAGGGTTTAGATCGCGGTGAATTATAGGCGGTTCTTGGGTATGAACGTATTCAACAGCCTCTAAAATCTCCTTGAACAAATGGTATGCTATAAAATACTCCATACCCAATCCTGAGCTCATATAAAGCGCGGAATTGAAGTAAGTATTTTTTTTAACAAGTAACTCGCCCAAATTGAACGAGCACAATTCCATTTGAATGTACAGTTCGTTTGGGTCGCCCTGTCCTTGCTCTGATTCCCGCCAAGAGTCATAATATTTGATCACGTATTCGTCGTTCAGTTTAGATAGTATTTTAATCTCCCTGTACTCTATTTTGCGATCTGAAAATAATTATATTCAATTTAATGTAAGTATATTTTGTATGATTGCATTCTTTCAATATCATAGTAAGTGAGTTTATTTATAAACTGCAAATTAAAAATATGAATATTTAGCAAATTACTCATTATGAATATTATTTGTATATGTTGAGTGCCCGGAGAACAGGGAGTGTGGCGGACACGCAACGGATAGGATCTCAGTCAAAATTACTCCGATCTCAGTGTGAATGTATGTGCTCGTCGGGTACTTTCCCAGTGATAAACAACTATCCGTATAAGGTTGAAATGAATCTTTCGTTTAGATTATATCCACGGAAACTAGTAGTAGTTTTATTGGGGGGCAGTGTTAGGGGATACTATTTCAAGGGACGAGTAATCTTAGGGGTCGAGCATTTTTAAGGAAAATGTATTATTAAGGAAAATGTATTATTAAGGAAAATATTTATAATTTTTTTATTTCAGAAAGATGAATAAGAAGTTTATTATCGCTCTGCTAATTATTGCAACTTATTCTCAATTAATTAACACCAAAATCTCACCGAAATATTTTCCTAAATTACTTAAACGTATTATGAAAATGGTAGAGAAGATGGCTACTGATTTCGACCGACGCACTATAGACAAAATTCCTGATTACATTATGTTTTCGTATAATCTAACGTTTTTAAAATATTAAAATATTTTACTATTTTATTATACTACGTAATATCTATTAAAATTTATTAATCATTAAATATTTATAATTATTTTTATAAAGTAATATTTATAATATAATACTAGTTCTTATTATATACAATAAAATGATCTTGGTCAGCGGGCCTGTATTAGTTCAATTGATTAAATATATTAATATTCAGTTTAATGTCAATTATAAAGCATACTGAACACTTACATTTCTTTCTCTTATTTTCCATGTATTTAAATAAAATAACCTGTATTACATGGTATGGTATAATAAGAATATCCAGGTCTAGTAAGTGTTCAAATCGGAAATTATGTTGGCGACCCGCTATAAACATATATATTTTTCAACTAAATCCTACTCATACTATACCAGTCTTAATTACAATACTATCTATAAATGTATTTAATAACAAAAATGTATAGTTAATATAACCAGTCGCTACAAATCACCGATTTGGACACCTAGGACATTCACTTAACTTTATATTCTTATTATACTATACGATACAAGTATAATCCAGTTTATTTTATTTAAATCACGAAGAACAATTTATCGGAAAGAATTGGTGGTGATATAGAAAAAAATTAATAATATAATACAAACATTGGCAAAATTATTTAACATTATACAATGTGAATGATTACTATTGTTAAATAAATACGCCCAACATTAAATATTATAGACCAAATTCAATTTTAAATAAATTAAATGTTAACCTGTGATTATAATCTTTTTAATAGCGTATATTTTTCCAGTTTGAATTGATTGCATTTCATACACTAAGCCATAACCACCTTTGCCAATTATTTTTATAAACGCGAAATCTTTATTAAATTTGTTTTCATCAACCCGTATCTGTTCATTATTATCCATTATTATTAATAAACTATAGCAATAAATAGTTTAAAAATAAGCAAAAATAAATTAAGATTTTACTGAAACACATTTACAAGCGCTACAATATTATATATTTCTTAAACGTCTATAACATGTAACGTATTTATTATCACTGGAATGCAAAATTAGGTGTTTATAATCATACTACCTAAGTAACAGATGAAATTGATTTGAGAATGATAAATTCTTATATAACGTTATAAATTATTGCCTTCGTTATGAAAGTATTAAAAGATAATATGCTTTAAAAATTAATAATGTTAATTATTTAATGTAAGTTGCATGTGGTTGTGGATTGTGGTGTAGTAAACTAAAACTAAGTTTCATAAAATGTAAAGTATAGTCAACACACAAATTTTAAAATAAATTATCCAATTGTAAATAAAATATTACACTATTTAATTTTATATTATAAATGTTTATTATACATTAATATTTAATATGAGATACACCAAGCTGAAACGCTCGATGTGTCTGTGAACGCAAACTGTAAACTGAAGTATTTCACATAATAATGTATAGCAATCAAGTTGGGTATATTATAATATGATGAGAAATACTTCAGTTTACAGTTTGCTTTCATAGACACATCGAGCGTTTCAGAATTGGGCGAATCATATAGAGTACATTAATATTTAATTAGAAATATGATTATTAATTAAATTAAAATATCATGTTAAATTAAACTATTTAAGTTTTAATTAATATCTGGAAACGTTTTACATTAAAAAATACTTAATTTGTAATAAAATGTTGTGCTTCAAATAGTGTTTAGAAAGTTTAAATAAATCAATAATATAGCAGTATAATAGTATAGTATAATTTAATTTACCATTAAAAACAACTATTTAAAATTTAAAAAATAGAACACAAAATATTTTTAAATAATGCAAGTTTTATTTTATAAAAGCTATACTTAATCTTAATTAAGAATTTAATTTTTATAATGCAAATAATGTAAAAACTTAAATTATGTAAACATCTTTTCTACTAGACATTTTGCTTTTTTGCTTAATACAATATTATTCATTAAATTGGCAATCAAAATAATTATTTAAAAAATCATTACTGGTAATTTTCGTTTCATTACTACATTCACGTCTAACCAGGTTTATATCGTACAATATATCAGGATCCTTAATTTTGTTCAATATATCCTTGCAAGTCGGTCGATTACCATAAACATACGTTAGCATATCGTTCATTAACTCAATTAACCCGGGATATTGAGTTGAGCTATAAATAATAAAATTATATTTTATAAAAATAATACTAAGCTATATTTAAAAATTTACTGATAAATATCAATGTTAAACAATTCTTCCACAAAAATGCCAATACTATAGACATCAGCCTTTGTATTATAGGTCCTCCCACTGGCCACTTCAGGCGCTATGTATTTGTGGGTACCAACACCTCTTGTATGGGACTGGGATGCCGATTTATGTACTGTAGCCAAACCAAACCCACCAAGCTTAATACACCGTTTTTGAGCCAAATTAAGCAGCACTAAAATATTTGTCGGTTTTAGATCCCGGTGAATTATAGGCGGGACCCGAGTATGTAAATAGTCTACAGCTTCTAAAATCTCCTTGAACAAATGGTATGCTATGAAGTACTCCACGTGACCGACACCCTTATATGGCTGAGTTTTGAAACAGGTCTTTTTGAGCTGGGTCACGTATTGTAGGTTGAATGAGCATAGCTCCATTTGTATGTAAAGTACGGCCGGACCTCCCGTTCCCTTTGAGGTCTCCAGCCATGAGTCATAATATTTTACCACATAATTAACATCAAGTTTGGACAGTATGTCTATCTCTCGATTCTCTATACTTGGGTCTAAAGATATAATTGTAATATAATTAAACAGGCTAACAAAAATTATAAAATAATATGATTAATAGATTTAAATAATTTAGAATTAAATTACCTTGTATAGTAATTTTCTTAATAGCATATTGTGTATTATCCTGAATAGACTGTGTTTTATACACAGCTCCAAACCCACCATTGCTAATTATTGATTTAGGACCAAAGTGTGTGTTAATTTTATTTTCACAAACTGGTATATTTTGGATATTATTACTCATTATTACTTTTAGTTAAAGTTACCACAAAATTAATTTATATTATAATCAATGCGTGATCACAAATCCCGTATAAGTTGCTATTTAATACTATTCACATAAGTTAATTCAGCATCAAAATATGTGTTGTTATCTCAGATGTATTTATTTATCAGTAAAATGGAGTAATAAATAAATAAAGTACCTGTGATTAAAAAAATTACCTAAGCAACCACTGAAATTGATCATTAAATTATGATATTTATGTTTAATATATAAGTATACTATAAAAGCTTCCTATTGTAACAATATCTTGAAATGGTTTTCATTATATTTATGTTTAAATTAATTACATAACAAAATAAATTAAATGTCATGTTAGCTAAATTATTGGTTATTACTAGAGCCCGGAATCAGTGGAAAATAAGCGTAGAAAATACACTTTTATGATGTATTATGATGTGCTAATCACTGATAAGAGAGAGATTAAGTTAGATGTGTTATACTAAACCCAAGTCACCTGAAAACAGTGTCTCCCTTCCACTCATTCCAGTTAGATCCAGACCCAGTCAAAGCGAGAGAGCTCATTTACTATTTGATTATTATTAAATATTAAATTATTATTAATTTTTACAAAGTATTTTAAATAGTTTAAAGTTAATATAGTTAATAAATTACTAATTATAATTGTAATTACATATTGATACCCAGACCTCAAGATATGGGGTCATTTTTACAGAAACGGAAATTCCCAAAAAATGGATTTGTGGCAAAGGGGCAAATGTCAATTTAAATTAGAGTAATATGATTAAAGTGTTTAATCATATGCAATTCAATAAATATTTATTGTAAAAGTAATATAAAAAGACAACAAACATAGAAATGAGTTTGAATAAAACCTAAGGTTATATAATGTCTTTGCAATAATTGCATGAATTAATATGCTCATATAAATATGTTTATTATATTTGAACGCATAAATTATATTTTAATACGTAATTAAGGTTTAAAATTTGTTGTAACGTTAAGAAATATTTATAAAAATGTTAAATTTCAATCTTTTCGTGAATAAACTGAAGGATAAATATTTTATAATATTTTACGTGATAAACAATGAGTACAGTGAGCCACCCCCAAAATTGTCAAAAACTAAACCAAAATATACTTCGTGGCTCGAGCATAATGAATTATTTTTTCCGGAAGATATTAAAGACCAAACTAACGATATTTAATTATATATTAATTATATTTTTATTATAGTGTTAATTTGTAACAATTATGATAGCTGTTAATTGGCTAATTGTAGTGATCATGGTAATTGTGGTGTCCGTTAACTGTTACCACGAGTTCATTGATGATGAGCTAATCGCCGCAATCGATGACAAAACAAAGTCCAAAATGTGTGATCCGAATGTCATTAATGATAATATGGTCGAGAAGTTGGAGAAATGCGATGAACTCTTTCATAGAAGGCTGGAGAATGAATTTATCAAGGTTAATCAATTGTATTCATTGTAAATATAAATCCAGTTCATTTAATTAATATACTAATTAAAAATAATATTTTCTCCGATAAGCAAACATTATGATTAACGTAAATTCATTATAATTAATTAGCTAGAAAAATTCGAGCAAGAATGCGATAATCACACTGACACATTTATGGATAAGTTCACCAAGCTACAAGATGAGCATTATAGACATCATTTATCCGATGTATGCGCTGGTCATCATAAAAAGTGCCATGCTCAAATGAAACAAAAGGCTCAGGATATTATCACCAAGAATAAAAACGTCCTTAACGTGTGTAGTGAATGATTACAAAAATACTGTAATTTTTACAATTATGTTTCTTATAGGGTTGCTATAATCAAGTTTTCGGAAATTAACTACCAGGGTCAAAAGGCTATAAAAATTATACGGGTTGAACATGATTAAATACATGGATTAACAAATACAGTTTAAATTAATATTCTCATATTATATTTAAAAAATTAAATTTTATCATTTATTAAAAGTTATAATTGTCAAATTAAAAATTAAAAAAACATTAATTAAATTTTATTTGTTACGAGTTTGAATCTGTTTGTAATTAGTTTTTAATTACAGCTTCATAATTAAACCTTGACTTTGAAAATAAAGAAATAAATATGTACTCAATATTTAATCATGTTGTATCATCTATAAAAAATAATTAAAATTTAGATGTAGTTGATTACAAAATTAATTAAAAAACAATAGATAATTTCTACATTTTAAATTATCACGCTATTTATTAATTTCATATAACTTTCAAAGTATAAACATATATACGTCGATATTACTTAATTTAAAAAATAAACCTTTTAAACAAAATCACAATTTATTTTTATTTTATCATCAAAATATATAGATATGAAGTCTATTATTTTATATGAGACAATAATCATGGTGCTAATTTTGTCCGTGTATTGTGACCACGAGGAGATTGATGACCAAATAATCGCCGCAATTGATGACAAAATTAAGTCCAAAATGTGTGACCCGGAAGTCATTACCGATAGTATCGCCGAAAAATTGGAGAAATGCGAGGAAATGTATCACAAAAAGTTGGACATAGAGTTTGACAAGGTGATTATTTTTAAATAAATCAAATTATACTGCTAATTCAAATTAAGTTATGAAAAGACTTAATTTATATTTTATGTGCATGCTATCATAGAATTAATTTATTATTAATAATTGTATATTTATTGCTTACATTTTAATTTTTAAGTTATTATCTATTTTCTTAATTAGCTTGGACATTTAGAGGAACAATGCGATAACCATACTGACACGTTTATGGACAAGTATACAAAGCTAAATGACCTACATTATAGACATCATTTATCGGATGTGTGCAATGGCCAGCATACAAAGTGCCATGCTCAAATGAAACAACAGGTACAGGATATTGTCACCAAGACTAAAAATACTTTGAATGTAAGTTGATAATCACACTTTATAGATAAAATAATTTTTAGTTACATTAATATTACAGGACTGCTATTCGAAAATATTTGGAATATAAACCGCAATAACCTGGATTAAAAATTTATATTGTTACAAATAATTTTAGGGGTTGACTTTTAGGAGTTTTTAAGACTTTAATACTAACAGACATATAGCTACCTTGGTTATAAATAAAAAATTATTGTACATTAACTTTAAATATATTAAGAATATAATATTGAAATTGTACTTTTTAAAAAATAAATAAATCATTTATATATATAATTTATAGTTAATTTAATCTTTAAATTTGTAAGCTAATTTATTATATGTGCGTTTAATTAGTTGATTAGTAATTAATAGGTTTGTTATTAAAATAAATTTATAGGTCGGACTCCCGAGTTTTGCCATTTGTATGCCTGTCAACTGTAGGCCAGTAGCTCTGTTGGTTTAAAGTTAATCAATAATTGTTAGTTATAAATACGGCAATTAATTATTGTGTAGAAAATTTATTGCAATATTTTTTTCGATTATTATTTTATTCGTAATAAAATAACAGATTTTATTATTATAATAACTATTTTGTATTAAATGTTTTTATTTTCATAATGTAAAAACTTCATTTAAATTTATAAATGTAATCAACATATGATTAAATATTGTAATTAAATCGATTAAACGATCTTTTATCAAAAAAGTACTTTATTATATAATTTGTAAAACAATTTAAACCCTGAATACATACTGTCTGTATATTCATGTACTGTATGTACAGTATATGTATTAACAGTTAAGTGGGTCAAAAAAATCTTGCACATTTATATTTTATATGTACTTTATAAAGTGGTTGAAGTAGAATAAATTAGTTATTGTGTGTCTATACTATCTAACGATATAAATATTTTTATAAACATGATTAAAGCGTTAGTTTTAATTATCTGTGTGTATGTTGTTTCAATGCAATACCTGCGAGACTATAACCCTATACCCGTTGATATCAGAGAAAAAGTTTGTGAATTCAAAGATTACAATGATGACAATATTAAGAAATTAGTTGTTTGTGATCAGGAATACGATAACAAAACTAGACCCTTATATGACCAGATCTGGACAATAATTAACAATTTGAATTCATAATATATTTAATTTCTAAAAATTTATTTAGTATCGAAATACTGTAGGAGATAATTGCAAAAAGGAAAGAAATGTAACATTGGCAACGCCCAACGTGATTAATACCAGGTATATGACCAGGGTAATGTACGAATGCAGATATGAGAGCTATTATAAATGTGAGGATGAAATGTGGAAAGGTCTTCATAGAAAATTGCTCCAGATATAAAAATTAAAAAAGTAATTATATGAGAAATTAAAGATTTTAAGATATTTTTATTGCTTTTAATTATTTTTGTAGGATTGCTATAGAAGTGCGTTGGGATTGGATTAATTTCTTATAACCATGATTAAATTGTTGCTATTTTAAAAATAAATAAATTGAAATATTCTTGTTAAATTCATTTACTACTCGAGTATATAATATTTATTCACAAAATAACTATAACTCAAAATAATGTAAGCTTTAATTATGAAATGTATTAATTAAGTAAAATCAGACCTCAAGATATGGGGTCATTTTTACAGAAACGGAAATTCCCAAAAAATGGTTTTTCGAGTCCCCTTTAGCAAATAAAAATCAATCAAATTTCAATTAAAATAACATTAATATTCATTTATGTATCAAAATAATTGTATATTGATATTAATAAAACATTTGTAAAACAGGATCAAATATATAAAACATGGCCTCCTGAGCCTACTAATACCTTTTTGTAATTAATATATAATTAAATATCGTTAGTTTGGTCTTTAATATCTTCCGGAAAAAATAATTCATTATGCTCGAGCCACGAAGTATATTTTGGCTTAGTTTTTGACAATTTTGGGGGTGGCTCACTGTAAAATTAATATATAATTAAATATCGTTAGTTTGGTCTTTAATATCTTCCGGAAAAAATAATTCATTATGCTCGAGCCACGAAGTATATTTTGGTTTAGTTTTTGACAATTTTGGGGGTGGCTCACTGTATGTATCAGGCATTGTTTATCACGTAAAATATTATAAAATATTTATCCTTCAGTTTATTCACGAAAAGATTGAAATTTAACATTTTTATAAATATTTCTTAACGTTACAACAAATTTTAAACTTTAATTACGTATTAAAATATAATTTATGCGTTTAAATATAATAAACATATTTATATGAGCATATTAATTCATGCAATTATTGCAAAGACATTATATAACCTTGGGTTTTATTCAAACTCATATTTCTATGTTTGTCGTCTTTTTATATTACTTTTACAATAAATATTTTTTGAATTGCATATGATTAAACACTTTAATCATATTACTCTAATTTAAATTGACATTTGCCCCTTTGCCACAAAACCATTTTTTGGGAATTTCCGTTTCTGTAAAAATAACCCCATATCTTGAGGTCTGAGTAAAATACAATTTAAATTAATTATATGATATAATTGCTATTTTAACTTTTTAATCGGATTGGACCAGACAGGTTTATCTTAACAATATTTATTCAGTAGCAATATAATATAAAGCAATATTTGGCTGGGGCTTTTTGAGTGAAAAATAAAATTTCCAATATTTCACTTTCATTTATGTATTATATTATTTTTTTCGATTATTATTTTATTCGTAATAAAATATAAGATTTTATTATTATAATAATTATTTTGTATTAAATGTCTTTATTTTTGTAATGTAAAAAATTCATTTAAATTTATAAATATAATCATACATATCATGCAATATTGTAATTAAATCAATTAAACGACCATTATCAAAAAAGTACTTTATTATATAATTTGTAAAACAACATAAACACTGAATAAATTATTACTATGTATATGTAGCTCTTATTTATGTAATAGGCATAAGGGCTATACTCAGAGATAAAAAAATAAATCACTTATTAAAAAAACCCTGAATACATACTGTCTGTATATTCATGTACTGTAATGTAAAGTATATGTATTAACAGTTAGGTGGCTTAAAAACATGGTACATTTATATTTTATAAGTACTTTATAAAGTGATTGAGGCAAAAATAAATTAGTTATTGTGTGTCTATACTATCTAATAGTATAAATATTGTTATAAATATGATTAAAGCGTTAGTTTTAATTATCTGTGTGCATGTTGTTTCAATGCAATACCAGTCATACTATGATATATCCGCTGATATCAGGGCAAAAGTTTGTGAATTCAAAGATTTCAATGATGACAATATACAGAAACTAGTTGTTTGTGATCAGGAATACAATAACCAAACTACACTCATATATGACGAGGTCTGGACAATAATTGACAATTGAATTCATAATATTTATAATGATTAATAATAATTTCTAAAAATTTATAAATTTATTTAGCATTATAAAACTCTCCGAGCTAATTGCAAATATGAAAGAAATGCAACATTGCCAACGTTCAACGTGACTAATACCAATTATATGACCAGGATGATGGGTCAATGCAAATATGAGAGCTATAATAAATGCGTGGTTGAAATGCGGAAAAATCTTCGTGAGAAAATTGACCCAGTCATCAAAATTAAAAAAGTAATTACATAAGAAATTAAAAATTTTAAAATATTTTTATTGCTTTTAATTATTTTTGTAGGATTGCTATAAAAGTGCGTTGGGATTGGATTAATTTCGTATAACCATGATTAAATTGTTACTATTTTAAAAATAAATAAATTGAAATATTCTTGTTAAATTGATTTTGATGAGCACACATATTATAAATAAGTGTTTTATTCATATTGATTTCTGTTCCAATACTCTATAATAACTATTTGTTCCGATGTCGGAGATTTTCTGGAGATTAAGTATGCATACGAATCATGTAATCAGGATCATTTATGCCAACTATTATTTTACTTATAAAAAATTATTCACGTTTTTAGCAACTTTATTAACTTTTTAATAACTAACTATTTAATGTTTTTTGTATTTTTATACATAAAAAGGCAATGAATTTGTAAATAAATAATAAAATAAAGGGTTTTTCTAATAATTATTTTGTATTAAATTTATTCATAAATTTTATATCATAAAGACTTTATTTAGATTTATAAATGTGGTCATACTATCATACAGATCATGCAATATTGTAATTAAATCAATTAAACAACCTTTTATCAAAAAAGTACTTTATTATATAATTTGCATGACAACATAAACCCTGAATACATAGTGTTTGTATATTCATGTACTGTAATGTATATGTGTTAACAGTTAAATAGTTTAGGAAAATCTAATACATTCATACTTTATAAGTACCGTATGAGGTNCTAATACATTCATACTTTATAAGTACCGTATGAGGTGTTGAGGCAAGACAAATAGTTACTGTGTGTCTATACTATAAACATGATTAAAGTTTTAGTTTTAATTTTCTGTGTGCATGTTGTTTCAATGCAATACCCGCCATATTCTGATATCCCCGCTGATATCAAGGCAAAAGTTTGTGAATTCAATGATTTCAATGACGACAATATACAGAAACTAGTTGTTTGTGATCAGGAATACCATAACCAAACTACACCCATATATGACGAGGTCTGGACAATAATTGACAAATTTAATTTATAATATATTTAATTTCTATCAATTTATTAAGTATTATAAAACTGTCCGAGCTAATTGCAAATATGAAAGAAATGTAACATTGCCAACGTACAACGTGACTAATACCAGGTATTTGACCAGGATAATGTATCAATGCAAAGATGAGAGCTATTTTAAATGTGAGGATGAATTGAGGAAAAGTCTTAATGAGAAAATTGATCCAGTCACCAAAATTAAAAAAGTAATTATACTCTATAAGAAATTAGAATTTTTAATTTTTTTATTACTTTTAATTATTTTTGTAGGATTGCTATAAAAGTGCGTTGGGTTTAGATTAATTTCTTATGAGCATGATTAAATTGTTTGTATTTCAAAAATTAAAAAAAATATTCTTGTTAAATTGATTTATTACTCGACTATATAATATTGATTCACAAATTAAATATTAATCACAAGTAATGTGACATTTAATTAAATAATGTATTAATCTAACTTACTAAACAACCTACAAATGACCTAGGTTTTATAAAAAAATAAGGCACATTCAATAATTTTATTTATTCCTTAAAGTTTCTGAAAATTTATGTTTCAATTCCTTAATTTCTATTTACAAGTTTTATTAATAAAAGATTTTAATTTAATATAATTATTTCAGAAATATCATACGGTACCATGTGGTTAATAAATTATAATTACTTTATACTATTGAACAATACAATGTACTATTGAATATCAATATTTAATATGTAAGCCTGATATACTTTAATGATTTAGATTAGGAGCAATGTAGTAATTTATTCTATAGAGGGTATAATTATTTTTGTTACAAATAAAATATTACTTCTGTTAATGAATTTGTCTATTCAATGTTTTTGTTTCCAAATATTAAAAATACTATTAAAAATCAATTTTTGTTTGTTAAGTGTCTGCTTTATATTTGCAAATAAAAATTTTTAGATTAATAACCTTGATCTCAAACATCATGCAATATTACAATTATTATAACTACTATATTAGATGTTTAATTAGTCAATGTATAAATAGAAATATTTTACTTATTTTGATACTTTTTAATTTTTAATTAGTTTATAAAAAATGATCAAAATATTAGCTATAATATTAAGTGTGCATGTTTATATTGTGGTTTCAAAGAATTACACCTCGTACTTCACGGGCATATCCGATGATATTAAGGATAAAGTTTGCGATTTAAATGAATTTAAATTCACTAACGAAACCCTACAGAAACTCCTAATTTGTGAACAGGAATGGCATAACCTGGTTCACCCTTCATGGTTAGAGGTATTGATAATTATTAATTTAATTTAATTTTTAGTTTACACTTTAATTGCGTCTATGTTACTTATGCTAGTATAAGAAACATCTAAATGAAACATGCAAACAAAATGGTGATGATACTATCACTATGCCCATGGCAAACAAGAATGACACGGCAAATATGGTCAGGCTAAAAAATCAGTGTCGAATGGATAGAAAGTATAGATGTCAAAATGTATTGGATAATAATTTGCATAAGACATGGGAGCCAATAAACAAAATTAGAAATGTAATTATATTATAGAGTAATATTTAATATTATAATAATATTTTTGTATATACCCTTTAGAATTGCTATAAAAGTGCCCTGGGACTGGATTAGTTAGTGTACAAGTTTGTCATGATAAAATATTAAAATACATTATATCGATAGTTATTGTGTGTCTATAGTATCTAATGATATAAACATTTTTATAAACATGATTAAAGCGTTAGTTTTAATTTTCTGTGTGCATGTTGTTTCAATGCAATACCAGTCATACTATGATATATCCGCTGATATCAGGGCAAAAGTTTGTGAATTCAAAGATTTCAATGATGACAATATACAGAAATTAGTTGTTTGTGATCAGGAATACAATAAATAAACACAACTTATATATGACGAGGTCTGCACAATAAATGGCAATTTTTATTCATAATATATTTGGTTTCTAAAAATTTATTTAGCATTATAAAACTGTCCGAGCTAATTGCAAATTTGAAAGAAATGCAACATTGCCAACGTTCAACGTGACTAATACCAGGTATATGACCAGTATAATGCATCAATGCAAATATGAGAGCTATAAAAAATGTGAGGCTGAAATATAGAAAACTCATCATGAGAAATTTGATCAAGTCATGAAAATTAAAAAAGTAATTATATAAGAAATTGAAAATTTTAAAATATTTTTATTGCTTTTAATTATTTTTGTAGGATTGCTATAAAAGTGCGTTGGGATTGGATTAATTTCTTATGACCATGATTAAATTGTTACTATTTTAAAAATAAATAAATTGAAATATTCTTGTTAAATTGATTTACTACTCGTGTGTATAATATTTATTCACAAAATAAGTATAACTAAAGACAAGGTTATGAGATAAACCATGATTAAATTGTTACTATTTTAAAAATAAATAAATTGAAATATTCTTGTTAAATTGATTTTGATGAGCACACATATTATAAATAAGTGTTTTATTCATATTGATTTCTGTTCCAATACTCTATTTATTGATAAACAAGGCTACAGCCTCTAAAAGACCTCTAATTCATACGTATGCTTAGTACATTAAAAGGTCATTTTTATCAAATTTTATTTTACCTATAAATAACTTTTCACGTTTTTAGCAACTTTATTAACTTTTTAATAACTAACTATTTAATGTTTTTTGTATTTTTATACATAAAAAGACAATGAATTTGTAAATAAATAATAAAATAAAAGTTTTTTCTAATAATTATGTTTAATTAAATCAATTAAACAACCTTTTATCAAAAAAGTACTTTATTATATAATTTGCATGACAACATAAACCCTGAATACATAGTGTCTGTATATTCATGTACTGTAATGTATATGTGTTAACAGTTAATAATTAAATCAATTAAACAACCTTTTATCAAAAAAGTACTTTATTATATAATTTGCATGACAACATAAACCCTGAATACATAGTGTTTGTATATTCATGTACTGTAATGTATATGTGTTAACAGTTAAATAGTTTAGGAAAATCTAATACATTCATACTTTATAAGTACCGTATGAGGTGTTGAGGCAAGACAAATAGTTACTGTGTGTCTATACTATAAACATGATTAAAGTTTTAGTTTTAATTTTCTGTGTGCATGTTGTTTCAATGACTAATACATTCATACTTTATAAGTACCGTATGAGGTGTTGAGGCAAGACAAATAGTTACTGTGTGTCTATACTATAAACATGATTAAAGTTTTAGTTTTAATTTTCTGTGTGCATGTTGTTTCAATGACATACATATCATACTTTAATATATCCGCTCATATCATGGCAAAAGATTGTGAATTCAATGATTTAAATGACGACAATATACAGAAACTAGTTATTTGTGATCAGGAATACGATAAACAAACTGCACCCATATATGCCGAGGTCTGGACAATAATTGACAATTGAATTCATAATATATTTAATTTCTAAAAATTTATTTAGGCTTCTAAATCTGTAAGAGCTAATTGCAAACGCGATAGAAATGTAACAGTGTCAACGCACAACGTGACAAATACGAAATATATGACCATGCTAAAGGATGATTGCATGTGTGAGAGTTATTTGGAATGTAGAAATAAAATTTGGAAAACTCATCTAGAAAATTTGGATCCCGCCAACAAACAAAAAAAAGTAATTTTATTAGAAATTGAAATTTTAAAAATATTATTTTTATATATTTTTTATTTTTTTGTAGGACTGTTACCAAAATGCATTGGGATTGGCTTAATTTCTTATCGCCATGATTAAATTGCTAACATCTCAAAAATAAATAAATTTCAATATTCTTGCTAAATTGATTTATTAGTCGACTATATAATATTATATCATATTGATTTATAAGTTACTTATAACTTAAAAATAATGTATGTTTTAATTTTAATTATGAAATGTTTTATGAAATAAAATAATATTTAACTGAATTATATCTGTATTTTAATTTATTAGGTTTAAATATAATAATATTATATCAGAATTGTAAATTATAAGTAATTTTTTATTTTAAAAATCTAATATCACATTTAATATAATTTTTAATTGTTTTAATTTATAAAATATGTTAATTTATTATTATTTGATTAAATTTTTTGTTGACAGGGTAGCTGTCGACCAATAGGCTTGCTTATTTAAAAATTAATCAATAATTGTTAGCTTTAAATGAGGCAATTATCTATTATCTAGAAAATTTATTGTAATAAAATGTTTTGTAATTTAATTTTAATCACAATAAATATGAATTTTTTTATTTAACTAATTATTTTGAATTTATAATATTAAGACATTATTTAGATTTCTAATGTAATCACACATGTCGTGCAATATTATAATTTTATTAATTATACGATTTTTAAAAATGTATTATTTAATTTGTACCAAGTGTTTTCAAGATCACATAATCCTGAACACATATTATTTGAATGTTCATGTACGCTATATAAATCAAAAACTAAATCGTTTAGGAAAAACCTAGTACATTTATACTTGAAAAGTGCTGTATAAAGTGGTTGAAGCAAATGAAAGTTATTGTGTATTTATAATATCTAATAATATACATATTTTTGTAAACATGATTAAAGCTTTAGTTTGTATTTTATGTTTGCATGTTGCTATTTCTGTACAATCCTTTTGCAATTATTTTAATGGAATACCCAGTGATATAAAGGCAAAAGTTTGTGAATTCAATGATTTTAATGATGACAACATACAGAAACTAGTTGTTTGTGATCAGGAATACAATAATCAAACTAAACCCATATTTTGCGAGGTCTGGACTATAATTGACAATTTGATCATAATATATTTAATTTCTAAAAATTTATTTAGTATTATAAAACTGCCCAAGCTAATTGCAAATATGAAAGAAACGTAACATTGCCAACGCACAACGTGACTAATACCAATTATATGACCAGGATGATGCATCAATGTAAATATGAGAGTATGATTAAATGTAGGAATGAAATATGGAAAAGTGTTCATGAGAAATTTGATCAAGTCATGAAAATTAAAAAAGTAATTGTAAAAGAAATTGAAAATTTTAAAATATTTTTATTGCTTATAATTATTTTTGTAGGATTGCTATAAAAGTTCGTTGGGATTGGATTAATTTCTTATAACCATGATTAAATTGTTACTATTATATAAATAAATAAATTTAAATATTCTTGTTAAATTCATTTACTACTCGAGTATATAATATTTATTCACAAAATAAGTATAACTCAAAAGTAATGTAAGGTTTAATGATGAACTGTATTAATTAAGTAAAATACAATTTAAATGAATTGTATGATATAATTGCTTTTAAATCGGATAGGACCAGACAGTTATAGTGTTTATGACAGTTTAAATTAAAAATATTTAGTCATTAGCAATATAATCTTAAAAAGATAAAGCAATATTTGCTTGGGGCTTTTAGAGTGAAAAATAAGATTTTCAATAGTTCCCTTTCATTTATGTATTATATTATTCATTTAAAAATTTATTAAAAATTATAATATTTTCTAGTTACAAGTATTATCAACAAGATTTAAATTTAATATAATTATTTCAGAAATATCATACGGTACCATGCGGTTAATAAATTATAATTACTATATAATATTGAACAATACAATGTACTATTGAATATCAATATTTATTGTGTAAGCCTGATATACTTTAATGATTTAGACTAGGAACAATGTACTAATTTATTCTATAGAGGTCATGATTATTTTTGTTACAATTAAAATATTAATTCTATTAATCAATTTGTTTATTCAATGTTTTTGTTTTCAAATATTAAAAATACTATTGAAAATCAATTTTTGTTTGTTAAACGTCTGCTTTATATTTGCAAATAAAAAAAATTTAGATTAATAACCTTGATCTCAAACATCATGCAATGTTACAATTATTATAACTACTATAATATATACTATTATAGTATTATAGTATAATAGTATTATACTATTATATATAATAGTCTAGTCTATATTAGATTATTAATTAGTCAATGTATAAATAGAAATATTTTACTTATTTTTAATACTTTTTTTTAGTTTTTAATTAGTCCATAAAAATGATCAAAATATTAATTATAATATTAAGTGTGCATGTTTATATTGTGTTTTCAAAAAATTACACTGCGTATTTCACGAGCATATCCGATGACATTAAGGATAAAGTTTGCGATTTAAATGACTTTAAATTAACTAATGAAACCATAAATAAGCTTGACATTTGCGAACATGAATGGCATAACCTGGCTAACCCTTCATTTCGAGAGGTATGGATAATTATATACTGTATCTATTTTTAGTTTACTATATAATTATATGCATTTTACTTATGTTAGTACAAGAAAAATCGAGATACACTGTGCAAGATAAATGGTGATGATACTATGCCTATGACACACAAAAGCGACTCGGCACATATGGCTATGCTAAAAAATCAGTGTCGAAGGGATCGAAAGTATAGATGTCTAAATGTATTGAGTAATAATTTGCATGAGAAATGGGAGCCAATACACAAAATTAGAAATGTAAGTGTATTATAGAATATAATTTAATATTATAACAATATTTTTGTATATACCATTTAGAATTGCTATAAAAGTGCCCTGGGACTGGATTAGTTAGTGTACAAGTGTGTCATGACAAAATATTAAAATACTTTATATTATTTGTTATTTATACAGTAATACTTTAGTTATGTATTACTCATAATTAATTTAGAATATTATTATTATACAAGTATTGGAATAAATATTTAGCATGAAATAAATTTTGTAAAAATAAAATCAAACTTTTTTGCAATCTATATTAAATTATGATTATTTTAAATTAATAAACATAAAACAAAACATTTGTAAATATTTTGTAATCAAAAATTTGCTTATCACAAAATTATTAAAGTTTATTAAAAAACATTTAACTTGGTCTATTTAAATTAAATAATTATTTATACAGTACCATGTGGCTAATAAATTATAATTAATACAATATAAGTACTAATGTACAATACAATGTACTATTGAATATCAGTATTTATTGAGTGAGACTGATATATTATTTCAGTAATTTTAATAAGAAACGATGCGGTATTTTATTATTATAATTATTTTCGTTGCAATTAATATATTTATACTAATACTATGACTGGATTTGTTTATTCAATGTTTTTATTTTCAAATATTCAAATACTATTAAAAAATTTATTTGTTAAGTGTCTGCATTATAATAGCAAATAAAAAATTTAGATTAATAACCTTGATCTCAACCATCATGCAATATTAAAATTGCTATAACTATTGTATTAGATGTTAAACAAGTCTACAGCATGTATAAATAGAAATATATTACTTATTTTAAATTTGTTTTTTATTTTTTAATTTGTTTGCTAAATTAGTCTATAAAATGATAAAATTATTGGCTATAATATTATGTGTCCATGCTTATATTGCGGTTTCAATGGATCAAATTGAGTTTTTCTGGGGCACCATACCCTTTGACATAAAGACCAGGATTTGTGATTTAAATGAATTCAGTGATGAAAACGTACAAAAACTCGTGAATTGTGTGCAAGAATTTCGTAACCAATCAAAATCTATAGGCGAAGAGGTGTTGATAATTAAATTTTATATGTTTTTAAATTATATCTAATGTTTAGTGTACTATGTAATTGTATACATCTTGCTTATGTTAGTACAAGAAAGATGTGAATGCATCTTGCACGAGTGATAACATTGGTAACCAAACAATCACTAGACTTATTCACAACAAAAATGACACGTCAAATATGGCCATGCTACAATGGAGTTGCCAATGGGATAAAAAGTATAAGTGTAAGAAAGTGGCGCGTAAGCGTATGATGGAGAAAATTGATTCAGCCAGCAAAATTAGAAATGTAATTATATTGGGGAATAAAATTTAATATAATATTTTTTTGCATATCGTATTTAGGACTGCTATAAAAGTGCAACGGGACTGGATTAGTTTGTGGACAAGTACAGAGTATGTCCTGATAAAAATATTTTACATTTGATATTGTTGATATTAGTTATGTATAATGCACAATTAATAATAAGAAATATTGTACAAATGTTGAAATTATTCAAATTTAAAATGAAATAAGTTTTATATGTAAGCTGTCATAATAAAATGCATATTTTGCATAATAATTTGTACTCATTTAATATTTACAAATTATAATAAAAGAAATATGTAATACTAATAGTAATAAGTGTAAAAATCAATTATAAGGAATAATAAGTTTTTACTAAATATTGGGAACATTTGTTTCAAAACAAAAAATAAATAATTCATCAATGCACAAATGTGAAACTAAAATATTTTATTTAATAAAACATTGAATGAGATTACTATCTACTAGTGGTCTCTGAATGAAGTGCCCATGATATAAATGCCACACCTTGGGCATGTGCCCAAATGCTTTACTTTTACTATCATATGATGGATGGCAGCACAGTCGGAAACCCTTGTCCTACACACTATTTATCTCAAAACCTTATGTTTGAGTCATAAAATGAGACTATAATTGCCATCACAACTCATTCTAACCTAATTCTTATCAAAATAAATAGAAACAAAAACAAATAAACGTATAACCAAATTGCCAAATTTTTCATATTTTTAATTTGCTATTTATTTAGCTATTAAAATTAAGAGCAATAAGTCCCGAACTTTATGCCATTAATAAGTGGAAAGCATTTTATATTTAAAACACATTTGAAACACTTTAAAATATAAATATGAAATTTTTTTATGTGAAATATAAAAACAGAATTAAAGCATATATCTATTTTATATGTTACTAACATTTAAAATAAAAAGTATAAAACCAAAATATAAATTTTATTATATTTATTCGATTTATTAAAATATGAACATACATATAAAAAGTATTTGGCTAATTTTAAACATTATATTGATTGCAAAAGTAACTCATATTAAACCAAATATTGATTCTGAATATGGTAAACTAGATTATTTTTATTTCAATAATGTACCTCCTTTATACCTTTTCATATTACTATCATCCCAAATTATCTAGATCAGCATATAGACAAGTCAGCATGGCACCCGGAACCTGAATACCATTACCGACCCAAACCCAACCCATTGCTCCGGGATGACTGCGATCGTGACATATACTGCACGTGTCATGAAAGGACTCATTGGACTCAAGAGGAAGTGGATAACGCCAAGAGGTATATACAGCACCGGTGGTACTACGAGGCCAGTGTAAAACCTCTGCGACCACCCTGTAAGTCAGTATACCTGCGCAAAAACTGGAAATGCTTGTCGCAGACTGAGCGTGCTAAGTTTGTCCGGGTGTTCCGTACCCTGTATGAGAAGGGTGTAGTGCAAGCCTACGGGGAACTCCACTTTAAGTGGTGGAGTAACTGGCATAAAAGTCCCGAGTTTGTGCCATTGCATACGGCGTTACTACTGTCGTTTGAAAGGGAAATGTGGAAGGTTGACCCCACTGTGTCGGGAATGCCGTACTGGGTGAGCTTGTTCATTTATACATTTGAAATAAGCAATTTTGATATGCGATATTAGACAATATTATTTAACATTTGCATGTCCTTGAGTGAAATGTCTTAATATTAATTGAGTGATAATGGGAGCAAGCTCCTTTTTAGAATATAGCCACAGATTACGCTCAAATATGGAAGTCGTGCGTTTGGAAAGACCTGGGATGGGGTGGACTCTATAGGAACGGCTACTGCGTTAGAGATGGCACCGTATTTAGAAATCTAACGGCCGACTTTTCACCAAGGTGCGCTAAACGGAGTTGGCGTAAGGACGGCACCACGTGTCCCATATACACGCCCGAGCAAGATACATCAACGATCCAGGTGTACACCGGTATATCTGATCTTTTAAATAGTTTGAGCAGTATACATTTAAATATACACCTGTGCATCGGGGGCTGGTATGGCGATATGAGTGTCAATTACGCGCCGAATGAGTAAGCATAATTTGTAATTATAATAATTAAGGATGTTCATTAAGGGGAAGTTATTTTTGATACGTAGTTGATGTATTTTTATTTAGCATACCTATGGACCCAGTAATCAATATGTGCACTTCAACTATGCTTTCATACTAAAGTACTGTTTCATATTTAGCCACTCGTATAAAACCGAAGTTGAAGCATTTTTTGTTTATTTAGTTCACATGTTATTTATATATAATTTCCCGAAATCTAATTATTGTCCACATTATCCATAATTAATTTATTAATAATATTTTAATCAATTATAAATATTACTAGTTACCTGTCTCCAATCTAGTGTAACATTTTGGATGATCCATAGCTTTGCCATATCGAGCGGACATAAGGCTCAAATGCAAGCCCCTATAGGTGCCATAGGGCTGACACCTGACGTAGCTTATAACGCACCTGGAAACCGGGTAATCGACCCTGTTACCGGTGAATGGAAGCAGGCTAACATATTCGACAAAATCACCTACTTCAATCGTACGGCAGTTGAATACTTTCAAATGGGCTATGGTGATCTATGTTACGTCTACGACAATTGGATCGACCCTATTAACAGGATCATGCGCAACGAACCCCCTGAACTGCCCCTGGCCTTACGACAATTACTGGCACAGGCGCCCAAGGAGTTGATAGCTAAATATTTCCCCTTATTTGCATTGGGAGTGTTTGATTTCACCACCAACACTTTTGAGAATTTGGATACTAATTGCAACCCGGCGTGTAAACCGCAGCCATTTTTCCAGAGGTGGAACGACACGGAAAATGGTCGGCGCCTTAATATGCAGTATAGACATGACCTGGAGTTTGATATGCTAAACACCCTAAATGAAAAACAGCAATTTTTCTGGGATTTAAACCAAGAGTTAAATGCTGCTGGCTATTGTAACCCGGTAGTGAATACGTAATTTATGATTGATAATAAGTTGCTTATTTGTATCTATTTAAATTATCAAGATTTTATTAACATTATAATTTTTATATGTATAACAATCATACAATAATAATAAAATAGATTTATTTATTTGATATAAGAAACTGCAATATTTTTAAAAAATAAAAACTTTATATCTATTTTTATTATAAAACTAATCTTGGCACAATAATGAGTTGATCAAGTTTTTTATTCTAAAAAATTGAATTTGTGATTTTTTGCGTCAAAAAACTACATAATTAAAATTATTTTATAATAACATTTTTAATGATTTATATAAATTTAAAACAATTAAAATTAATTTATCGATTATATCCTATATTATAAAAATGTTTAAACTGTAAAATTATACATTCCAAAGTTTGACCAACATATTTTTTGTAATATTAACATGGTGGTCTAAGTCTAAGTTTTGTATCTTATTTTTTGATTTGAAACCCGATGATATTTCGTACTATAGTCCCATTCGGATGAACATTGAAAACAACATTATTTACATAAAAATTGTTTCCAAAATCATCCGGAACACAACACACCCATTATCATAATATATAAATCAGGTGGGCGTGAAATAGGACTACAGACGAACAGGGTACTCTTTGTTTTCAATCCATGAGTGCAGGTATGAGACACTGATTAGTGTGTGTCCAACAGTTCACCCGTGGGTTTTTGAGCGGGTATTTGGATGGGGTTGGAATTATGTGCTTGCTCTTTTTCACACATAATTCTGGTATAATATGCATATATTAAACCATATTATGACCGAAACCCATGACTGTGTCGGCCATAACCCAGGTATCCTGGTATGTACCCCAACTGTAAACTCTTCGGCACCGGTATTGCGGTTAATAACCATCATTAGTGGTGATGCGATTTTTAGCTTGAACATTTTGTAACGTGTTTTAATTGAAATATGAATCACAATACAATTAGGTATTCAGATGGCTCCATTGAAAGTTAATAATTATCGACTAGTTCATAATAATTTGCCAACTGGTTGTACTTGATGTAACACGTGTATTTTTATATAATTTTATTATTATATTATCAATGTAATAAATACATGTTCGTTCGTTCGTTCAAAATATTTTTGAACAAATGCTTATAATAAGGAAATGCTCGGATAAATGTAATTGTTTAATCAGATACGACCAAGGTTACGCTGATAATATAGAGATCTTTTTTCTAGAAAATACTTTATAATAGCGCCTACAGTTTATTATGTTATTAAAACTATAATATATTATATTAAACACTCTATTGTGTATAAATTTTATGATGTGTAGTAATTGCATAATTAAATACTCTTTATTTATATTAATTTATTATAATTTAACACGACTATAATAGAGAAACAATAATAATTTTTAATTAATAATCTCAAATAGTGTAGTATAATAATAGTTCTTATATTATTTTGGTTTATCTAATCGTTAAGGATATTTACAAAGTATATAAATGCTATTTCTCTCTCTCTCTCTCTCTCTCTCTCTCTCTCTCTCTCTTACACTCACACACACAAAATAATAATAATGTCTACTATACAAATACCACTAAAATAACAATTTTATCTAACAGTTATTTTTACACATTTTTATAAATATATTTTTATATATTTCTATTTGGCTATACAGTATATTAAAAGTTTTAAAATTAAATATTTTATACATAAAATATTTGAAAAGTAAACCATTAAATAAAAATATAATATTGTAATATTATTATTTTAGATGTTTATAATAAAAGGGCGTGGCTAGTTTATTGAGTGGTCTTGTCCAATTCTTGCTGTTCAGTGAGCATTATACTGCTCCTTGGTATAATCTTATGTATTGTACGTTTGACATGCGTATGAACCTGGTCATATATAAATGCAAGCATAATTAATAATTAATTATGGAATTTTCCTAGTTAGATGTGCATGTTGCAATACTGATTGCCACACTTATTTCAGTAATTAATCTCAAATTTTCTCACGCACTTTTAATCTACCCTATTGTATATAAAGGTATTTTATATTATTATACAATCAATACTATACACTAAATATAAATTGAATTATTATTAGCATTAGCTTGGATGAGTGTGCTACACTTAGATTGTAACTACAGTCTATCATAGATATACATTTAATATGCACTTTAAAGTACTCTAACTACATAATTAACAACTAATTATGCACTATATTGTTCATTGAATTTATCTATGAATTGCTAACAATAACTGATAATTAATTTTATCATTAATATTGTAGCGTTTGAATCGAGTATTACCTCTCCATTAAGAAAGCAGAATATAGTGGTGACGATCGCCCCCTGAAGTGCTTCGATCACTATCTGTATGTATTTGGCGACAAACACGCCGGTAGAGCACGACTCAAATGGGTCGACGTCCGCGATGTAGAAAGTGTACTGGATGCCAAACACTGGCAATAGGATCAGGGATGCCCGTAGACCAGCACGGAAATGGTCGGGCGATGAACGTAGTTTTGTCATTAAAACCCGCACCACGTTGAATAGTAGCAGAGCGTTTAGCTAGTTTAAAAATTATTATGATTAGGAATATTTTAATTTTTTAATTTTAATAATTAATCAGTTTAATTTTTACAATAACTATTGTATTTGATAGACTTATCAAAAATAACGGTAGATTTATGAAGCAAAATTATTTTTTGATATTTATTTTAAAATATTGAAATAGATTTATTATAAATGTTACTAACTATCTATTTTTTTATTTTATAATATTTTACAGTTTTGAGACTATTAAGCAGCAAATTAATGATCCAGTAATTTAGGGAAATTACCTTTTTTTGACTTATTTTTAACATATTGTATTTTGGGAATAACATTATGTCAAATGGAAAATACCATCTAGCAATTTGAAAACTATTATTTATAAAAAATATTAATTATGGGTCAATATTTCGATCATTGACCATTCATTATTTCAATAGTAAAGGGACATTAAAAGGATTAAATTTTAGCAAATTATATATGGATCATTTATTCTAGGGTTTACGTGTCTGGAGTATTTTACTCAATTTGCTACCTGAAACTGAAATTCCTATTATTTAGTATTAAATATGAATATACCTAAAACTAAATAAAAAATATTTTTCCATGTGAAATAATTGTTTTGTGATATTTTACTAATATAAAAATATTTCTCTAAGAAATATTTAATAATTAAGTTTATAATAAGCTAAACATAATCGTGAAAGTAACAATTTTAAAAGATCTAGAATATTATTTATGTTCTAATATATTATTTATTTAGTGTTATTTATGTCTAATATTTATGTAAATAAATATGAATAATTGACTTACTACTATACAAGTAACAGGCAAAATGTCATAGATCAGTTCTGGGTAAAACATGGATCCAGTCCAGCAACGAGTATCATAGTCTTCGAGCGAGTGTACGATAATATAAAGTATCATCACTAGAACCGGTGCTCCCCATCCGAATAGATAGTAATATAGGAAATGTCTTTCCTCGGCAAAGCTCATTACAATACGCCGGTGCAGGTATGCCGCCTCATTTAGCATCCAGCAAAAATTTGTTATATGCGAGAATTTGTAAAATATGACTACCGCTTTGCACCATATGGGACTAGCACGTTTAATATTTAAGAATTTACAATATTGCTAATAAGACTTGATACTTAAAAACTTTCATAATCAGATACTTGACATTTAAATTGATTAATCCTGTGTATCTAAAAATTAATTTTAAAAATAAACTTACTTTTCATCAAGCACAGGATTCTTTGTGTAATGACTTTCCTTAATCAAATAATCGAGCGTGATGGAAAACACACAGTTCAATATGATCGAGAATATAAAATTCATATGAATCTGCATCCGTAATATTTTATATTGCTCATAAAACACAAACACCAACATGCCTATCACGCAACACACCAGGGAAAATATGAAAATTCCTATCGATGTTTGGACCTGTCTCAATTTTTCAGAAGCCTCAGGGATATAACAGTAGTTATAATCGGTATCATCGTCCATGTAGGTACCATACTCTGGGTGATCATCATCAAATGGTAGCCATTTTGTGGTCCAGGTGCCATTAGGTAGGCAAATCTTGTTAGCGTATTCATTGGCACAATCTGTGGGGTGGTAGCCAAGGGATGTTTGAGACATAGGCGGGCACTTTTGGTACTGAACACTATCGGCAGGCGCTGAGTCCCAACACATCCATCCGTCCCATTTAGCCGGACATCGGGGGCCTGTGTTTGACCGGTCGGTCGACGCCTGTATCTGCTTTTGGCAACACTTTTGGGCGTCTGAGCAACAGCTGAGGAATGTGTCCTGAAATTATTTATTAACATGGTCATTTAAAACACATTTATATGACCACATGGTCTCGCTTATGTAGTTACTATACTAACAGTTGCTATTTATGAAATTTTATAACATACTATTATTTATTAATTAATAATAATGGTTGTTTAAAATTAATTTATTTTTAGATAATGTTTACCTAGATAATTACTAACTGTATTCGTTCTAAACACAAATAATCTATTTGTTTATAAAATAATAAAATAAATATGATAATAATGTAAAAATATACCTTGAAAAATTCACTGACAAATTGTTGAAGGAATAGGTCATCATGCCAATTATCAATATCCAGGTCACTATAATTAAATCCTAAATTAATCCGGCGCCTATCGTGGCCCTCGCCAAACAAAAAGTGAATCATAACATCAGGATAAAACGACAAATTCATGGCCGTGTTGACCATCGTATCGTTTTTCCAAGCTGTTTTAAGGTCGGCCATGTACCAATAGCACCTAGCACACATGATGTTGGTGAAATTGTCCAAGTTATAAACGTCGAACTCCGTGCCATTTTCTCGGACATTATGGTGACAACTAAATGCTTGGCTTGAGTTAACACTAATCATCAAGCAAATTAAAATATATAACAAGTTAATGGCTAATTTTGGAATTAACTTAGCCATGATTAATTATATTTTAGCATATAATTTGCTTAATCTAGTAATAAATAGGAATATAATTTTTAACATTCGTTATAATTAACAAAAACTAGTTGTTTTAATCGCATTTCAAACAATTCAGTAGAAAAACAAATAATTATTTTTTTTCGTTTGCAGTGATTCTCATGACTCGAGTATTGAAAACATTATTTGCAGACAATTGTAAAACACATTCAAAGGAAAAGCATTACATATCTAATCGCTATGTGAGGAGGGAATGGGTTTTAAATCCATACTTGAGATGAGGTTTTATAAGAAAATAAATTTTTGTTTTTAAGTTAAAAAATCAATATTTAATGTTCACTGACATAACCACCAATTTATGAACAAAATCATACATTGGTACTTAATTATTAATATTAAAAGTTTTCGGGAATTTACACACAAATTGTATATATTGTATTTATTTACAAACAAATATGTTTTACACATAATTATATGTTTTGTCTGAATCATAAATAAATAAATATTATGAAAGCTTATTATGAAATTATTATTAATAATGAGCTGTTTATCAGAATACTATAGTGTATATTAGAGCACAGGTATGTTAATGATCCGGTTCAACTATTAAATATTACAAATAATTAGATGTAAATATTAATACATGCTAGCTAAATATATTAACAAAACTGAAAATTATTTTTATACATGCTCATATCGGATTAACCTTGCTCCCATAAGTATGTACCGGAATATTCATGGCAATGACATAAATCTAAAGTAACCTTGGTGTTCCATCTCAATTTTGGGCAAATGATTTACTGTTTTATTTTTTATAATAAAACAATTAAAACGATAACCGATTAGATAATGAAGAAGTATTTGAATGATAACTCAAATGCCTATTACCTGTTATAATGGGTAACATTAGACTACCGCATGGCGTACCTCCAAGTGCTGCACAATAAGCCTTAAAATAGTTAGGATTAAGTGTTTAATGATGGGTCATGATGGGTTTGACAAAATTATTACCATTTTATTGTTATGTTTAAGTAATATTTTTAGATTAGCATGATAAGTTTTTAAGTAAAAATAATTAACATTATATAAACTAAGTTTGATTGCAATTTTATTTTTATAATGTTGTGTAACTAAGTTAGATATTGAACTCCGATATTAACAGTTAATTTTATATTTTTATAAATATATTATATTTATATATTTCTATTTGTTTATACAGTATATT